ACATAAAGCAAAATTTTTGGTATCTCAGATATGGGATACAATTGTTACTACTATGTATTATGAACATTTATTATCCATTGATAATTTACGTAAACTGCTTTATCAAAAGGTACTCATTTTATATCTTTGATATTATTTTTTTTTTGTCAATTAATCATAATCTTTTATTACTTTATTATTATTATTATGATCTTAGGTACATATTGATGGTTCTAAAAATATGTTTAAAGAACCAAATATTTTTGTATCAAAAAATCTTGATAATCAATATTACCAATCATCAAGCGAGGCAGAACGTCGTATTTCATTTTTTGCTCAAAGTTTATCAACACCAATTCCTGATCCTTTACCGATTCAAAACATGCCCACTTTTACTGTGTTGACACCCCATTATTCGGAAAAAGTTCTTCTTTCACTCAGAGAAATTATCCGTGAGGAGGATCAGAATACTCGTGTCACTCTATTGGAATATTTGAAACAATTACATCCTATTGAATGGGTTAACTTTGTAAAAGATACTAAAAATTTTGCAAAGAGTAACTATGATCTAACATCACCATTTACTAACAATAATAATGGTAATTGTAATGGAAATAGTGGCAATAATTACAATAATGGCAACGGTATTAATAATTATAATTCAAATAACAATAACAATAACAGTACTAATATCAATGATGATAATGTTCAAATAAAGGTAGGATCAGGAAAAGAAAAATTTGAAAAGAATTTAGATGATCTACCATTATATTCAGTCGGATTTAAATCTTCAGCATCTGAATTCACTTTACGTACTCGAATATGGGCATCACTTCGTTCACAAACATTGTATCGTACAATTTCCGGATTTATGAATTATGCTAAAGCTATTAAACTTTTATATCGTATTGAAAACCCTGATATCATTTCAAACTATAATAATCTTTATAATCATCATCATCGCCATCATCGTCATCATCATCATTATAATTATAATCAAATTAATTCAAAAAGACTCGCTAATGAATTGAATTCTATTGTTCGTAGAAAGTTTAGATTTGTAGTTTCAATGCAACGGTATAATAGTTTCAGTAAGGAGGAACGGGAAAATGTGGAATTTTTACTTCGAATATATCCAGATCTTCAAATTGCCTATTTGGACGAAGAAATATTTTTTGAACAAGTGATTAAAGAACAAGATTTAAACCTAAATCAAGAACGACAACAGCAGCAGCGATCATCATTACCAACGTCATTATCATCAACAAATAAAGTTTATTCTGTACTCATAGATGGTCATTGTGAAATATTACAAGATGGTAGACGTAAACCGAAATATCGTATACAATTGCCTGGCAATTCTATACTTGGCGATGGCAAAGCCGACAATCAAAACCATGCTATAATATTTATTCGTGGCGAATATTTACAATTGATAGATGCCAATCAAGACAATTATCTGGAAGAATGTTTAAAAATTCGTAATATACTTGGTGAATTTGAAGAGTATGAGATGCCAACGACATCACCATACTCGCCCGAAGTTTTAGAGGAAGAAAACAACAGCAACAGCAACAACAATGATGCCAACAACAGCAACAACCATGATAGCAAAACTAATAAAAATTGTTATAGTAATAAAGATCCTGTGGCAATTGTTGGGGCTCGTGAATATATTTTTTCGGAAAATTATGGCGTTTTGGGTGATGTAGCGGCTGGTAAAGAGCAAACTTTTGGTACTTTGACTCAGCGAATGATGGCGAAAATCGGCGGTAGACTTCATTATGGACATCCAGATTTTCTGAATGCAATTTTCATGACAACTCGTGGTGGAGTGTCCAAAGCACAAAAAGGTCTACATCTTAATGAAGATATTTATGCGGGTATGAATGCATTTTGTCGTGGTGGCAGAATAAAACATACCGAATATTATCAATGTGGCAAAGGACGTGATCTTGGATTTGGATCAATTCTTCATTTCACAACAAAAATTGGTACTGGGATGGGAGAACAGATGTTATCTAGAGAATATTACTATATAGGAACACAACTTCCCTTAGATCGTTTTTTAACATTTTATTATGCACATCCTGGATTTCATATCAATAATATTTTTATAATGTTCTCCATGCAACTGTTTATGATTGGAATGATGTTTATTGGTGCTTTGACGATCACTTTAGAACATGATCTTTGTGAATATAATCCAGATATGGAGGCGCCATTGTACCCACCAGGATGTTATAATTTAGTACCGATATTTGATTGGATAAAGCGGTCAATCACCTCGATATTTCTTGTCATTTTTATTTCATTCTTGTCATTATTTTTACAAGAATTGACCGAGAAAGGATTGATTCGAAGCATTTTACGACTTGGGAGACATTTTATATCATTATCACCATTTTTCGAAGTGTTTACTACTCAAATATATGCATATAGTATATTAACAAATCTTAGTTTTGGTGGAGCTAGATATATAGCTACTGGACGAGGGTTTGCAACAGCTCGCATACCATTTTCAGTGCTGTATTCACTTTTTACAAGATCGAGTATTTATTTGGGAATGAGAATTCTGGTAATATTGATATTTGTGTCGATTACAATGTGGTTACCGCATCTAATATATTTTTGGGTTTCGGCGATTGCTTTATGCATTTCACCATTCCTGTTTAATCCGCATCAATTCTCATTTATCGATTTCATAATTGATTATCGAGAATTTTTGAGATGGATGTCTAGAGGCAATTCGAAATCACATTTAAATTCATGGATATCGTACTGTAGAATTTCAAGAACAATGGTAACAGGTTACAAAAAAAAGAAGTTGGGGCATTCTTCGTCATCCTCGAAGAAAAAGTCAGTTGTGATGACGGTTGGAGGCGGAAGAATAGATGCGACTAGACCAAGTTTTTTTGTGATATTTTTTTCAGAGATTTTTTCACCATTCGTAATAGCGGTACTTTGTATTATAGTTTTCACATTTATAAAAAGTTTTGATTCCAAAGAGCCCGGTAATCCGAATAATGGACCAAGCCCTATCATCAGAGTGATCACCATAGCTATTGGACCTATATTATTGAATGCTGTAATGTTATTAGGGTTTTTCATACTATCGATTTTTTTTGGATCAGGCATCAGTTTATTTTTTGAAAAGTTTGGATCAATAATAGCAGCGATAGTGCATACATTTGCGATTGTAAATTTGATAGGGACATTTGAGATATTATGGTATCTTGAATCATGGAGATTAAGTAATGCGATATTGGGTATGATAGTATTGATAGCGATACAACGATTTATTTTCAAATTGATGATTGCATTATTTTTAACACGTGAGTTAAAGCATGATGAAACGAATAGAGCGTGGTGGAGTGGAAAGTGGTACGGACGTGGATTTGGATTTGGGTTGACGTTAACGCAACCTTTTCGTGAATATATTTGTAAGATTGTGGAGATGTCGCTTTTTGCAACTGATTTTGTAATAGGGCATATTCTACTGTTTATGTTGATACCATTTTTGTTTATACCTTGGATTGATAAGTTACATTCAACAATGTTATTTTGGTTGAGGCCGAGTAAACAAATCAGGCCACCAATTTATTCAATTAAGCAAAAAAAACGTCGACGAAGAATTGTTTGGACTTATGGATTGTTATTTTTGTTGATGTTTATTATATTTGTTGGATTGATTGTTGGACCTTTATTTGTAGGCAACAAACTTAGAATTTCTTTCAAAATACCCATTTAATAAATTCGTGATCGGCAATAACAACCATCAATATTATTTATTACTTATTAACATAATGCAAAGCTGATTGTAAAATTAAAAATAATGAAATCAATTAGATTGATTAATTAATAAATATGGTTTCGAGTTACTTTTAAATAAATATTTACTATATAAATTTTATATAAAGGACTTTGTTATCAATAAAAAATTTCTTTATTTCTTTAAAAAAAAAAAATAATATAAATTTATTATTTAACAATTAATGATCAATTTGATCAATTTAATATGACGATATTTTCTCTACACTAAATAATCAAGATGCATATCTAAATATAAATATAAAATATGATTATTATCATTATAATTGTTATAGTTATATAAATTGCCATAGTAAATAAATAAATTACCGTTTAGTCCAATCTTTTGCAATTCTATCGTGTTCTTCACTATCATACAAGTATTGATTTGCTATATTTCCAACCAAAGGATCATCTAAAGTAATACATTATTATTATTAGTAGCATTATTATTATTATCATCATTATCATTATTACTATTCTTGTTATTACTACTACTATTATTACTATTTTATTGTTGCTGTTATGATAATTTTGCAAGACACAATGTTAATATTAATAAATCATCAACTCACATGGATTAGCGTCAGTTAATAATGAACATATTGATAATAAGACTTTTGATATTGTTAAAGCAGGAGACCAATTGTCTTTAAGAATATCAAGGCAAATTTGACCTGAAGAATTGATATTGCAATGGTAAATACGTGTACGAAATACCACCTAACAAATAAATATACATAGAAGGATACGTACGGAATATGTATTAGATATAGAATGAAGACACACGGAAATTATATATCATCACACATATAATGCTCGTATAAATAACACACAAGTAGTATTATCATTTCATACCTTTGGAGGTTTGAATGGATAATCTTGAGGAAAATTAATATCAAGAAAGAATATTCCGCCAGCATAAGGCGAATCAGCCGGTCCTGTGATTGTAGACACCCAGTCATATAAATTGTCTCCTTTTGGACTTGCACTAGTGTTAATAATTGTTATTTAATTATTTAATCAGTGAAATGTAAATGTATGAAATGCAATTTGTAACATTATATGAAATGCAATTAGTGAGATTATACGAAATGCATTTTACAATTATGCGAAAATGCCCATCTTACCTGCAATTGCATGGTGGATCGAGACTAATTTCTGCAAGTTCTTTTTGAATTCTAATAATAATTATTAATTAATAAATAAATTTATACGAGAATTTTCAAAATCATTAATCTAATTTTTTCAAGAATTCGTATTTAAGTATTATGCATTTACCTTTTAGCACTACTACTCAGTGGATTATTAAATCTACTTGTAGAAGAGAACTTGCTACTATTACCACTACTGGAACTAGAAGAAGAGGGTGCTGGTACAATTGGCCCCGTACTACTAGTAGAAGTTGGAGAACTAGAAGAAGTTGTTGAGGGTGATGTGATTGTAGTAGTTGTAGTTGTTGTTGTTGAGGGTGTAGATGTGGTTGATGTTGTAGCTATGGTATAAATTGTTGAACCAGATCGAGAACCAATGGAATGTGAACTTTTACGTTTTGTCGACATTTTTGTTATTATTATTGTTAAAAAAAATCAAAAGGAAAATGACAAACCAGCTTAAATTAGACTTGGATTATCATCGTGACATTAGTTGATGGTTTATATATGTGTATGACAATGTAAAATTATGCAGACGCGCTTTTTTTTTTTTTTTTTGAGAATCACGATGATCCCAAATTAAATTTTGCCGATTTTCCGAATTTTTAAAAAAAAAAACTTCAATTATATCAGACAGAGGTTATCACTAGCAAAAAGACTTTACTCACTTTTACTTTTACTTTTAAATTTTCGGAAATGGAAACTCTTATACTAATACTAATATATACTCGACCCTGTTAAACCGAAGGCGTTTGCGCAGTCACTTTTCTTCGGTCTACGGATTAACAAGTATCATATTGCTTAATTGTGTAAAATATAAGTAGTGTGTATTAAATAATACAAGTATAAAAGGACATAATAATAGTGCAAAATTCAACACAAATATATATTTACTTGTATTTTAAGATAGTATTGTATATAGGATGTAATTGTAGCACTAAAATTTTATGTCTTGGCATTAAAATTTTATATTAGTAACGATCGTCACAAATAGACAAACGAAACTTAAATATATGTGTATGTAATTTTCTAGATTTTACAAGCTCATCGTCCATTACGTGTATTACTTTATTGTTAGCAACTTTTATTTTTTTTTTTAATCTTGATTTTACTTTCAATGTGCACGGAAAAAACAGCCTTTTATGTTTCAGAGAATAAATGTAGAAACTATTTATTATTTGGTGGATGTGATGATTCCCAGGTTAAATAGTGATATTTTTATATTGACCTGACAAACTCATTTTCTGTCTTGAACTCTCCATATCAATTTCAAAAAAAAACTGGGAACCAAGGTGTGCAGCTAGTACCAGTCGTCTATTATTTATTTCAAGAGCCTTTCTTAGATTCTTTAGCCAAGCATATTCATATTCTCCAAGAAAATGACATACTCTTCATACGGTACTAAATTCTGAATATTATGAGTATTTATGTAACAGTTTCATTTTATCATTCGATAAATATACATGTGATGTGTTTGATCTCAAACTTTTGTTTTTAAATTGGCTGTGGCTCTTGGAACTTTTATATCATTCTCCCAATAAAAGCCAAGAAAAAATTGTAATATCTTTCGTGAAGCTTACATATCCTCATTCATTTGTCCATTAGATTCTACAATAATAACAACAAATACTTGCTAATTTTCACTTTTATTTATTTTCTTGGATTTTTTCTTTTTCATAAACAGTTAGAATTTTGCTTTCATCCCCCAGATCTTTTGATATTCATCATAGACAGAATATACATATTTGTGAAAATATCTACTTCCTTAATATGGAGGGATGTTTTCCTTTTGATTGGCTAAATTTAATTTCACATGTGAATTACAAATTGAATTTTGCACCTACATATAATTTCAAAATAGACAAAGTGAATGATAAATCTATTACAATTATCATTGAAATGACAAACAATTGCATCACCCAAATAATAAAATAAATAAATAGTTCCATCCTGAGCGCCGAGGATCAAATAATTTTTTCCTTCCCAATTGCATAGTTCCTTAAAATAAATCTGATGACAATGATCATGGATGGATGGTCAGGTTAAATAAAATTTCCCTATTCACAAATTTGCAATCGCAAATCATTCATATCTCTGGAATTCTTTCTACAGATGAAGAAATTGAAACACATTGGAAGGCTTTTTTTGGACAAGTGGGAGTCTGCAACCTGGATCACGACCTCCTGAGTTACAATGAGTTGAAAATTCCCAATATTACAACTCTTCAAAATTCTGCAACCTCCTGAGCTGGTAATTTCTTAGTCGCAGAGCCATCTTTGCCTAGAGGTAGGATGGTTGCTGGTAACTTTTTGGCCTTCTCCGAGTAATAATATCAGTTTAGGTGCTTCGTGGGAAAATTAGGATTCACAAAGCTGATACAGTTTCCAGAGCTATGCTTTCCTCTGGAATTTAGTTGCATCATTGTATCGTCGGAGGTGCAGGCCAGGGTAGCCTCAAGTACGTGAGGAAGATGAGAATAATTTAATGTTTTAAATATTCAATGTAGTGTACTTTACATCTGTAAACTTCTGATAATCAAATGTTGTATACAGAATGGTTTCATCATTGGTGTTTCCTAAGAAAACTTTCCATCTTCAACAGTCGTATTGTCATCTTTTCCTGTATTATTATTCTTGTTATTATTATTAATGATTACGAAAAGCAAATACACCAATCATTATAATAATTGCCTAGAAGACATGACAAACTCGCTCCATGTTTTTAAAAAAAATATTTATAAACAATAAATCAAAATTCATTATTAGCATAATAGTAATCGCAGGCATTCGTTTTATCACATTAATTAATTCTTTATGTTGTGAAAAAATTGGACATGATTAAAAATTTATTGTAAAACTGGTAAGAGTATAATTTTTCGTTAGTTAAAAGGCTTTGGTGATTTGCATGTCAGTTCTACAGTGCAAATCACTTAGTCCCACAACTTTTTATTGGTCGTGTAGATTTTCAAATTCTCCAAAAATGGAAATGCAACACCCAAAAATAAATCGTGTATTTGAAGCCAAGACCTTCCTCTGCAAAATCACGATTTCATCTCATTGGTATGTCATGTTGTTGTGGAGAATTTGAGCTTCAAAGTTGCACAAGTTTACCGAATTTACTATGTTTTAGCCCTGAAATGGCGTGTTACACACAAAAAAGTTAATATCAAAAATAGGCGAATTGAAAGAAAATAAAAATAAAAATTTTTTTTTATATTGCTGATCTTTTATCACGTGAATTTCCCAGACATGAATCAAAAAAGAATTTTACAACAAACAAAAATCATGTGACCATAAAATTTTTATTGCATTTTTGATTGGGAATTTTTCCCAAAATTTGTGGTGTGGCGCAAAAAGTTGTGGGACTAAGTGACTTGCACTATATATACATTTCATAAAATGATGATCATTAATTTTTTACAAAAATTGATTGGATACACTTATTTTTTGCAGCATAATGGAAATTGAAATGTTACACTAATTTTTTATATTGTGCAACATAGCTTTACAGTACACTGCAAACATTCTGGCAATAAAAAGTAAGTGATAAACTGGATTTGAATTGGATCTGGACTTGATCTCCAATTTAGAGAGGTAATAGTAATAACCATACACTGGCGAAGTTTCAGAAGCAATGAGTTCTGTATAATGTTTTGTGTGACAACAAACTTCTACTATGCTATTTTTTGCAGTAATAGAAACATTTGTGTACTTAAAATATACTTATTTTCCACTTATACAAAAATTAAAATTTATATAGTATAAAATAAGTATGTTTTAAGTATTATTAACTTTAGAATAAAAAATTAAGAATTATTAAAAAATTCAATTTGTGCGTTTCCCTTTTAATTTTTTTTTACACTTATTTTTTAATATCAACAAACACACTTAAATGTAACTAAAATATGCCACACGAGTTTGTTACCAAGTTTTTATGATTGTTTTTCTTATTTATAATTTTTTTTAACATAAGAAAACAACAAAATTAAACTAGTACAATGTCAATTAACATTTTTGGTCGAGTTTTTTATTAATATAAGAAAACAACAAAATTAAACCGGTACAATGCCAATTAACATTTTTGGTTGAATGTTTTTTGAATGAAATTTTGATTGAATCTTTTTTTATCTTGTTTTTTTAATAAAAAAGGGTTTTTGATGTTTTGCAAAAATGGTTGCGTTGTGTAATAATTGATAATTGATAATTGATAATTGATAATGATAATTGATCACTGCCTCAAGGAAATTTTTTTGGTACAAAAGTTGTATTTATAAAGAAAAAAAAAGATAAAAATGTAAATTTTTTTTTTTGGCAAATTCTCAACATTTTTAAATTGTAAACTAAAATTAACGGTTTTTTTCTTCTGCCACACAATTAACAACTTGTTTACAAAAACAATTTTTCAACACAACTGCTATATACACCTTGGTTTAATATATAAAAAAGACTTCTTTTGGGTAGCAACTTATAATTATATACATTATATACACTTGGATTATTATTGTACATACTTTCTTTTAGGTGAAAAAGATAATATTTTCTTTTGAAGAAAAATAATCTTTGAAGAGGTAAGTGTTTTGAGCATGGAAGTTTAAAGTAACAAAAGGTTACACAACTAGTAAGGAAAAAAGAAGAAAAGAAAATCATTATATATATTGTTATTATAATCATCCGGAAAATATAAAAAAATTTTACATGTGTCAATTGTAAGTTTAATAATAAAAAAGTGTAAAACTTACGTCGGCACTGTAAGATTTACACAATATTACGTCGGCATTGTAAGATTTATGCAAGTTTACGCTAAATTAATTTCCTGATGATATTAATTACTTTAAAAAAAAAAACGGATCTAGTTATGCAACTAGTAAGGAAAAAAAAAAGTAAATCATTATATATATTATTATTATATCACATTATTACATTATAATATTAAATAGAAAATATTTGTATTTTTCATATTTAAAAATAAAAAATGGTCTTTTTAAATAAATAAAATAATTGTTTATATACTATTAATTTTGAAAATACAACAATTAAAAATGAGTAACATTCAAGTAGGAAATAAGTATGTTTTAAGGGTATGCTGACATCCTTATTTTCTACTTAAATGGGAAATATTTAAGAATAAAACGAGTATAATCTAAGTACAATTCAGGTGTGATTTAAGGATAAAATAAGTACAAAATAAGTATATACATCCCTAAAAAGAGCAAAACACACTTAAATTCTACTTAATTCACACTGATGTTACACTTAAACAATACTTAATTTCTACGCAAATTTAAGTATGTTTTGAGAGCATAATATGGATATTTTAAGTGTGCAAACTTTGCATAGGGAAGTAGCAGTTAAACTCTTTTCTCTTTCAAAAGGACAGAAATTACAATGCCATTTATCTCCTCTCCTCAG